TTTTTTTTTTTTTTTTTTTTGCGGTATGCGGGCCTCTCTCTGTTGTGGCCTCTCCCGTTCACAGGCTCCGGATGCGCAGGCTCAGCGGCCATGGCTCACGGGCCCAGCCGCTCCGCGGTATGTGGCATCTTCCCGGACCAGGGGACGAACCCGTGTCCCCTGCATCGGCAGGCGGACTCTCAACCACTGCGCCACCAGGGAAGCCCACTAACTTTTTTTTAGCAAAAGCAGTGTGATTGACTATGTCAGATCTAATTAGATTGTCATTGATTTTACCTCAAAACATGGCTGACAATGAACTTGTGCTAGGTGTCAGGGAGATATCAGTCTAGCCATTTTCTGTGCTCACTTAGGCTTTACTATAATTAATATAGTCTTCAATCAGAGGTTTCTTGGTAGGACTCTTTTAAATCCACATATCCATCATGGGGGTTCATTTAGTTAAAATGAGGTAGTACAATCAATAAATCCACTTAACTAAGCACAGGAAAACTGCAAAAGCTCACAATGGGCTGATGATGAATAAAAGAGTGAGGGAGCCACTACTGCCAACCCCTTAAAGGGAAGAGTATCTCCTCCCACCTGAAGATTTTTTGAGTGTAGGATCTGTGAGCACCAAATGTGGAGATCAAATGAAGATATCCATGTCAATTCATATGGTAAATATTAGTAAATATTTATTTTATATACAAAGACAAGAATAAACTCTAGTAAGTTTCTTCAGTGCCCTAAGGAATAAACAGACATGTGCCCTCTGGCCCATTTCAAAAACCTTCTATTTGTTGTCCAAGGTCTCCCTGACTCCCAAGCCACCACCTGACAGCCTCTCCAGCAAATTTCTCTCTCAGCATCCCCTCCCTGCTCTTTCACAGCCTTGCTCCATTTTCACTGTATTGCTCACCATGCCCCAAATATCCTTTTCTTTCAGCCCCCTCTGTGCACTGGCTGCAGGGAGGATGTCAGACTACATAAATGGAAGCACTGGGCACAGAACAGGTACTTAATAAATGCTTATTGATTCTCACCATGAGGTAGCTAAACTAGATCAGTGGTTCTTTAATTTTAGCCAACCTCAAAACCACCTGGAAGGGCTCCCCTGGTGGCACAGTGGTTGAGAGTCCACCTGCCGATGCAGGGTATGCGGGTTCGTGCCCCGGTCCGGGAAGATCCCACGTGCCGCGGAGCGGCTGGGCGCGTGAGCCATGGCCGCTGAGCCTGCACATCCGGAGCCTGTGCTCCGCAATGGGAGAGGCCGCAACAGTGAGAGGCCCGCGTATCGCAAAAAAACAAAACAAAACAAAACAAAAACACCTGGAAGACTTGTTATAACACAGATTGTTGGACTGTACCCCAGAGTTTCTGATTCTTTGGGTCTGAGGAGGGACCTGAGATTATGCATTTCTAACAAATTCCGAGTGATGCTGACGTTGCTGATCTGGAGACCACACTTCTAGAACCAATGAACTAAATGGAATGCGTAGCTTCTTGCATTTCTAATGGTTTGATTCCTCAATGCTTTTAATAGAGACTAAATAAACAAAATGAACTTTTATCTCTATATAAAGTAATACTTAACATGATCACAAATGAAAATATGAGCTCTATAAGACCTAGTTGCACAGTGTAGAGAAAAGAGCACATACTTTAGAATCAGAAGATTTGAGTTGGAATCCCATTTTGTAGCTGCGTGGTCAACCTAAGGCAAATTAATTACTCTCTGAATATCTGTCCCATGGGGTTGATTGTGAGATAGTATCAACAAATGGAAATAATTTGTAAAAAGAAAAGTACTGTATACAGACTATACTAATAACATATATGTACAATGTATTAATGTTGAGTGGACTGATAATAAATATGTTTTGAATACTTTAAATCACAAATTTCTAAAATTTCTAATCCCAGTGCTAATTAAGTATAGAAAAGTATGTGATGTACATGTTGCTATATCATCTCAAATACATATAAATTTTATTAGTACCACTGGTAAATACCAAGAATAGTAGCTGTGGTGGCCAAGTTCCAAGATAGTCTCCAATGATCCCCACCTCCCAGGATTCATACCCTTGTGTAGTTTCCTCCTACATTGAATCAGTGACCAATAGAATACTCTAATAAGAGACACTGCCACTTCCTGTTTGGTTTCTTGGATCCCTCCCCCTAGGAGATGCCATGAAGACACTCTGTGGAGTGAAGCAGATCTGTGGAAAGATCCACGTGGAAAGGAATGAAGGTCTCCTGCTAAAGCCAGTGCCAGAGATGTGAGTAAGCCACCATGGAAGGTAATCCTCCAGGCCCACTCAAGCCTTCAGATGACTGTAACCTAAGCCAACATCTGGCAGCAACCTCATAAGAGACCACAAGCCAGAAACCAAGCCACTCCCAAATATTTGATCCACAGCAACTGTGTGTTAACGAATTATTATTGCTGTTTTAAGCCATCAAGTTTTGAAGTGATTACAGAGTGATAGATTATGGATACAGTAGCTAACATTTATTGTGCATTTATTATGTTCCGGGAACTATGCTAAGCACCCAACAACCCCATGACATAGATGCTATTATAATCCCCAAAAAGGAAAGCGTGGCCCAGAGAGGTTAAGTAATTTAGTCAAGGTTCCATGACTAGTTACTGGCAGAACTGAAATCTGAATCCAGGTCTATAACTCCAAAACCCAGATTTTTGGTTACTCATCCATATAAGCCAGGATAAAACCTTTTGGACAGTTAAGCAGCAGAAGCACCTGAGTTCCCAGAGGAGAGCAAAACTGTATAAAACCAACAAGGGATAGGCCAGGGGCCAGATACACAATAGCACTGGTGCCTAATGTCATAAAACTCAGAAGTTCTAAACTGGCCTCACCACCCAGCCTTTGTACCAGCAAACGAGTCAGCTCTTGGGACACTTCTACCCAAGATGCCCAGGACTCACCCAAATCTGCAGCTTCACTCGCTTCTCATGGCAGTAGACTGTCTTCACCTTAAAGTCAATACCCACGGTGCTGACGAAGGCTGGGGTGAAGGTGTCGTCAGCATAGCGGAAGAGGAAGGATGTTTTGCCAACACTGCTGTTGCCGATGATGAGCAGTTTGAACATGTAGTCAAAATTCTGGTCAGAAGCATCTTTGACTCCGGCTTTACCATCAGTCACTGAAGCCATCTGCAGGAGAGACCTGTGGTCACTCAGGAACACACCTCCAGTGTCACCCTGGATCACCTAACTTTTAATGGTCACACCGCCCTGCATACACTCACTCCACGCCCCAGCATCACTGAGGAAATACACACTACTCAGAGTCACCCCCTCACTGCACCTGCCCCAAATGTTGTCTCAGGATTGGGGTGGAGCCCAGCTCCTCCCATTCATTCCTTCAGCAAATATTTACTGAACACATTGTTCTGGGTCAAGCCCTGTGCCGGGCACAAGGAATACAAGTATGAATCAGACATGGTGTCTGACCTCTGAGTGGCCACAGATTAGAGTAAAATACTCACAAACACAGAGTAACAAAGCAGTGGATAAGTGATAAGACAGAGGGAAGCCTTGGCTGAGGAAGCCCATAAGAAGTATCTAACCCAACCTGGAGGCATGGTGGGCAAGGAGAGGCTCCTGTAGGGGTAGCTCCTAAGCTGAGTTTGGAAAAAAAAAAAAAAAAAAAGGCCAAAACAGCAAGTCAAAACAAGGGAAGCAATCACAACGACCTCATACCATCCTCCACTCTACTGTTAGTCATCTTTGTTTGTTTACAAAAGAAAATCTCATCTTTGAAAGTACATATCCATTACAAAATGTTAGAAAAAAACACAAGAATGTAAAACAGAAAATTTTAAATTACCAAACATGGCATCCACTCAGAAACTGCCACTGTTAACATTTGAAGTTTATTTCCTCCTTTATTTTTTCACGCACCAGAGTGCCATCTATTTTGAAATTATACCTTATTATTTAATTTAAAAAGTAATACATTGTAGTATACCTAGGCCTTAATATTACCAGCAAATACTTGTCAGGTACTCGTTATTTCCCATGAGAGATATGATGGTGACAATAACCATATAACAGTTCCCATTTATTGAGCACTGATATTGTGATATAATAAAAGACATGTATTTGGTCTGGGTTCCTGGTTCCAGGCAGAGCTCCTGAAACCTTTGCAACCTCTGGAAGTGCAAGTGATAAGTGTCTTGTTGTGCGCTGATGAGATGCCTGGTGGCTGGGGCTCCAGGACAGCCTCAGAGTGGGGGCTGGTTGCCAGAGGCACCAACCACATGATTAGAGGGTTGGAACTTTCAGCACCACCCCCTAACCTCTGGGGAAGGGAGAAGGGCTGGAGATTAAGTTGATGACTAAAGGCCAATGACTTAATCAATCATGCCTACAGTAATGAAATCTTTGTAAAAAACCCTAACCAAAGCGGTATGGAGATCTTCCAGGTTGGTGATCACGTTGATGTGCTAGGAGAGACCCTGGAAGCTCCAAGACACCCTTTCCCCCTACCCTGCCCTATGCATCTCTTCCATCTGGCTGTTCCTGAGTTGTATCCTTTACACTTTTACAATAAACCAGTAATTAGTATTTTTAAAAAAAAGGGTAATACACACACTGAAAATAATTCAGACAAACTTTACTATTTGCAAGTATTACTTTATCACCATCTGCAATTTGCATTATTTTCTTAACTTTTAGCATAAAAAGAAGGTAATATGGAACCTAAAGGTTTATAGTGCAAAGTAAGTCTTGCTTCCACCCCTGATGCCCAGTCTCTAGTTCCTCTCCCCAGAGGCAAACATGTTAACGATTTATGTATCTTTCAAAGATATTCTTTGCATATATAAGCACAGAGGTCTGTTCATACTTTATAAATATATATATATATATAAATGATAACATACAATACATTCAAGTCTATATCTTCCAAGTATATTTTAATAGCTGAGATAATTAGTTTTGTAACCTGCTCCTTTTCACTTAATATTATATCATATACTGAGACTTTAAAAATTCTTCGTAAATATGATTTCAATTGACTACACTTTATTCCATCCTATGGTTGTGTGATATGACCAGTTGTTTAAAGTCATATATTTATTTTTCTGTTCTTAATTATAAAAATTAAGTTGCAGTGACCATTTCTTTACATATTTGTTCTCTTTCCTATTTATTTCCTTAGGAGACATTCCTAGAAATGGAACCCCTGGTCAAAGAATAACTCTACTGAAACACAGATTTGATCCTTACCTCAATTTCCTTTATCTTATTTTATACTCTAGATAGACCTGGGAGATAAAACTGGAAGGACAAAGATTACTATCCCCATTGGATCAAGAAGGGAACTGAGGGCTAGAAATTATAAGGATTTGCCCAAGCGTCACAACTAACAGCTGAGACTAGACCTAGTACCATGAAGTAATATGGGAGAGGTCAAAATTCCTGCTCTATTCTTCAGCTGAATTCTTGGGTAAGTAATATCAGCTCTCTAAGCCACAGCATTTTACCTTACAACAGAGAAAATACCACCTACTTCACTGAGCTATGGTACCAACAGAGTGAGCAGTTACCATATGTAAATAATCTGGCATGATTTCTTGATCTATGGGAGGTACTCAATAAATACTAGTTCACTGGCTTTTTAATTCACTTCTGCAGTCAAATCTTGTTCAAGTGCCCTCTCCCTGATCTGGGCTCCATAATTTGAGCCTGTTTTACAATTAACTGTCTGTCTCTCCTTCTGGATTCAGCTGAGTTTTATCCATCCTTATACTCTGTCAACAATGAACCTAGAGTAAATCCTTGGGCATGTTACTCCTTTCAGTAAACATTTATTGAACATTTGCCATGTGCCAGACTATTGATGTGAATGTTGTATTATTGGTTTTCATTTTTCTGATGCAGCTGTTTGCACTCTTAGATTACTGGAATTAGAAGGGATTTTAGAGTGGCAGCTTTATCATAACAAAAAGCCTGGCTACTGGTCCCAGCTTTCCCAGTAACTCAATGTATGAACTTGGACAAGTCACCTAAACTCTGAGCTTCAGTATCCTCATCTATGATATGATCACATTACCGACTGCAGAAGGCTGCTGTGATTTTTAAAAAAGAAAATGTAGGAAAAGAAGAAGTAAAACTGTCACTGTTTGCAGATGACATGATACTATATACATAGATAACCCTAAGGATGCCACCAGAAAACTTCTAGAGCTAATCAATGAATGTGGTAACGTTGCAGGATACAAAATTAATGCACAGAAATATCTTGCATCCCTATACACTAAAAATGAAAGATCAGAAAGAGAAATTAAGGACACAATCCCACTCACCATTGCAACAAAAAGAATAAAATACCTAGGAATAAACCTACCTAAGGAGGTAAAAGGCCTGTACTCAGAAAACTATAAGACACTGATGAAAGAAATCAAAGATGACACAAACAGATGGAGAGATATACCATGTTCTTGGAATGGAAGAATCAATATTGTGAAAATGACTGTACTAACCAAAGCAATCTACAGATTCAATGCAATCCCTATCAAATTACCAATGGCATTTTTTACAGAAGTAGAACAAAAAATCTTATTTGTATGGAGACACAAAAGACCCCGAATAGCAAAAGCAATCTTGAGGGAAAAAAACAGAGCTGGAGGAATCAGACTCCCTGACTTCAGACTATACCACAAAGCTACAATAATCAAGACAATATGGTACTAGCATAAAAACAGAAATATAGATCAATGGAACAGGATAGAAAGCCAAGAGGTTAACCCACACACTTATGGTCAACAAATCTATGACAAAGGAGACAAGGATATACGATGGAGAAAAGACAGTTTCTTCAATAAGAAACTGGAAAAACTGGAAAAACTGGACAGCCATGTAAAAGAATGAAATTAGAACACTCCCTAACACCATACATAAAAATAAACTCAAAATGGATTAAAGACCTAAATGTAAGACTGGACACTATAAAACTCTTAGAGGAAAACAGAGGAAGAACACTCTTTGACATAAATCACAGCAAGATCTTTTTTGACCCACCTCCTAGAGTAATGGAAATAAAAACAAATATAAACAAAAGGGACCTAATGAAACTTAAAAGCTTTTGCACAGCAAAAGAAACTATAAACAAGACAAAAAGACAACCCTCAGAATGGGAGAAAATATTTGCAAATGAATCATCGGACAAAGGATTTATCTCCAAAATATATAAACAGCTCATGTAGCTCAATATTAAAAAAAACAAACAACCCAATCAAAAAATGGGCAGAAGACCTAAACAGACATTTCTCCAGAGAAGACATACAGATGGCCTAGAGGCACATGAAAAGATGCTCAACATCACTAATTATTAGAGAAATGCAAATCAAAAGTATAATGAGGTATCACCTCACACCAGTTAGAATGGGCATCATCAGAAAGTCTACAAACAATAAATGCTGGAGAGGGTGTGGAGAAAAGGGAGCCCTCTTGCACTGTTGGTGGGAATATAAATTGATACAGCCACTATAGAGAACAGTATGGAGGTTCCTTAAAAAACTAAAAATAGAATTACCATATGACCCAGCAATCCTACTACTGGGCATATACCCAGGGAAAACCATAATTCAAAAAGACACATGCACCCCAGTGTTCACTGCAGCACTATTTATAATAGCCAAGTCATGGAAGCAACCTAAATGCCCATTGACAGATGAACGGATAAAGAGGATGTGGTACATATATACAATGGAACATTACTCAGCCATAAAAAGGAATGGAATTGGGTCATTTGTAGAGACATGGATGGACCTAGAGACGGTCATAACAGAGTGAAGTAAGTCAGAAAGAAAAAACAAATATCATATATTAACGCATATATGTGGAATCCAGAAAAATGTTACAGGTGAACCGGTTTGCAAGGCAGAAATAGAGACACAGATGTAGAGAATAAATGTATAGACACCAAGGGGGGAAAGCGGAGTGAGGGTGGTGGTATGATGAATTGGGAGATAGGATTGACATATATACACTAATATGTACAAAATACATAACTAATAAGAACCTGCTGTATAAAAAATAAATTAATTAAAAAAAAAGAAAATGTATATAAGGGTGCTTCATACCTACACTGTGTGGAGAAAACACCTGGCCTTGCATAGAATCAGTTGGAAAAGTGCCTGCCTTTATTAGCTATGTCTGCTATAGGTGCAAGGCAAGAGTAAAAAATAGTTTCAGCTCCTGGTCTGATCCACTCCCCTTCATTTTCAGGTAAAAAAAAATTGAGGCTCCACAAAGAGCAGTGATTTGTCAAAGGTCATACAGCAAGTCAGTTGGAGCATCATTACTAGAACTTCTGTCATCTGATTACCCCCAGATTGGACTGGGATTAGGGAAAATAAAAACTACAACAATTTTAGGGTGAGTAGAAAAGCATCCCCAGCACCCTGAGATCTCTTTCCTAGCACTTGCCATACTGTACTGTCAACATTTGTTTATGTGCACACAGCATAGCTTTCCCAGAAGGTGGTATGAAAACAGGAAGAGCAGAGAGGTACAGTTGGAAGGCAGGTTCATGTGGACGCCCCCAAGGGGATCTTCTCAAGAGTGGGGCAGGGGCTACACAGACATTCGGAAGAGAAGTAAAAACCACCCCAGCAGGCAGCTGCCTGAGGCAGATCTGAGCAGACAGGTCAAGGCACAGGTGATGTCTGCAGAACTGCATTTGTCAGATAAGCATCAATCAGATCTTCCCTCTCTTTTTTGACAGTCACATAAATGACAGAGCTGGGTAGCTCACTGTCTTCGTGACAAGCAATACGGATGAAGGCCCAGGGAAGTCATATCTGGTCCCAGGCTGGGGGAAAGAAGGAAGTGGCTCCTCCAAGGGTTGGTGTGAAAAACAAACAACACTTTGAGTCTGATAAGCATCTAAGGAAGAACCCGACTTCAGGCAGGAAAGAGGAGGGAAGAGGAGACAGCCTTAAAATCCAGCAAGAAGAGATCAACTGAATACATGTAGTGAAGAAGTAAATGGATGAACTTCTCTTCTGAAGGAAAGAGCACAAGACAAAGTCAGAGACACCTGGGCTGAGCCCTGGCTCTCGAAGCAATTGCGTAACCTTAGGCAGATCGCACCCTGGGCCTCAGTTTCCTTATCTATAAAATGAGTTAATAAAGTGACTTCCAGGCAAACTATTGGAAGAATTAAAACCAGTACATGAGAGAGGCAGGAGCACAGCCACAGCTCAATTAGTCATTCACTCAACATTCATTGAGCACCTACTGTGTGCCAGGCCCTGTGCTGTACTCTGGGGAGATGAAGAGAAACCATAGGATTTCCAGCTTAGAGGAGAAACCTTCTTAAACATCCTCTATAGGTTGCTGGTGTCTCCCTTCATATTGTAATCCTTAAGAAACTGGAGATTTATTTCTTGGACTGGAGATCATTTTATATTTTTGCCTGCTTCCATACTGTTTCCTCTGATAGGAACATTCTTTCCTCTGTGGCTAGCTAAATCCTTCATGACCAGGAAGTCTTCCCTGACCCACCATCCTCTGGCAGAATGTCTTTGCTAGGGCAAACACAGCATCAGGGCTTCCCAGTACCACAGACAGGGCTTTTCACGGACTTCCATTGTCTTCCTCCCTTTATAGGCTCAGAACAGGTGAGCAAACACACACACACACACACACACACACACACACACACACACACACACACACACACATCCAACTCCTTTTACTATCCCCCACCCTTTTCCATCTGGATTCCAAGAAGCTGGGATGGATGGCCCTGCCCTTCTCCCACTCCCCTCCACACCTCTATTAGCTGCCACCTCCCTCCCTAAAATCTCTTCCACACTTGGACTCCAGAACAGAGTCAGCCTGTGGATGAATTTCTCTGTCAACGATTCTCTTCTTGTCTCTGACCCCAGGTAGCAGTGTAACAGGTCCAGTGCCTGCGCCCCCTCCTCAGCCTTCTGAGGAGCTAAGACACAGCTACCAGCTAGATGCCCTTGGACTCCACTCTGGACCCCAATCATCTTCCCACTCCCACACCACAACCCACACCTGACTTCCTCTGCACCATGACCCAGCCCATCTACCAGCTTAAACTCTCCAGGTTCCCCAACAGTTCCTCCACTCCCGGCTGCCAACCCCTTGCTCTATTCCAATGCCTCTCCATGCGCCACCCCTAGCCAGAAGTCAGGTGCCAAGGCCTTGGCTCTCTCCCTCCATCAGCTCCCCACCCCCCTTCTCTGCAGCCTGGGTAGACCCAGCCTTGCCTCCCACCTTCCCATTCTCCCAAGCTTCCCAACTCCAAGCCCCATCCCTCTCCCGCACTCAGGTTACCCCCCTTGCCTAGACCCACCTGGGCTCCGGCACCACACCACACTCACTTTACCTTCTCCCGGCCCAGCACCTCCTTTCTGCCCAGCGCCCCTTCCCCTCATCATCTCACTCCTCTCCAGCTCGAAACGACCCCCGCCGGCCAGTCCCCTCCCCTTAGCTCTTCACTTCCACGCCTCCCTTCCCGCGTTCCTCTCAGTCCTCTCGCTTCAGCACCTCCTTCCCCGCCCCTCGGCTCACTGGTACCCTCTTCCCGCACTGTCCCTCTCAGCTCCCTCCTTACTTCTCCCCCCATCCCCCTCCTCCGTTTCCCCCTCAACGAGCCCTCACTGCGCTCCAATTGCCGCTCATCCTTTTCCCCAGCCCCGGCGCCCTCTTTCTCGTTCCCCCAATCCCTCTGCCCCTGCCTTTGGAGCCCTCCTTGCGGCCCTCACAGCCCGGGTAGACGCTCCTCAGCGCCCCCTCCCCAGGCTACGCGCCCCTTCACTGCCGCGGTGCCCCTCCTTAGTGGCCTCGCCTGGCCCCTTCTCCTTGGTGTTCCCTCCGCTGCCCTGTGCTCCTTCTCAACGCCCACTCACTGTCCCCAGCGCCCTGCGCCGGGAATCGGTCCCAGATCCTCCTCGGGCGGGCTGCCGGGCCGCGCCCCTTACCTGGGACTCCGGGTGAGGACGAGCGGCTAGCTCCCTGGCAGCGCCGCAGAACCGCTGGACCTGGCGGCGGGCGGCAAAAGGCGCAGTGGGTTCGCGGAGCAGGGCGGTGCGGGGCGGGTCTGGTCCCCACCGCAGCGACTTCGGGCTGAGGCTCGGGCTGCAGCTGGGCTGGGCCACCACCGCGTCCAGGGCCCACCCATGCCCCGCCCAGGGGCGGAGTCCCTATTCGCCCGGCCCCCAGCTCTGGGCAGGTGTAGGAAATCCGAGGTATCTTGGGGGCCCGGGAGCTCCCCAATATCTGGGTGACTATCGTGATTTATCTTAATTCTCACGCCTCGTTCCATACACTGAACTTACTAGGGTGATCAGAGAGCTTCGATGATCATGTAGGTGATGATGGATTTGTACCTTTGCCATTTCTAAAGCACTTCCCTGTCGTTATACTGCTTCATCCTCACAAAAGCCCGGGTAGAGAGGCAGAATCTGGACGGCTGTCTACAGGTGGAAACGAAGCCAGAAACCTGGGCATTGTTCTCTACCCTATGCACTCCTTCACACCCTACATCCCATCAGCCTGGTGATGATGCCTCCGTAACATATCCTATCCCTTCCCCTCTTCTCCGTCTCCACTGCTCTCGCCCTGGTTCAGGCCTCATCACTTCTTGCCTGAACTAATGCAACAGCCTCCTAATGGGTCTCCCTGCCTCCACTCTCCAATCCATCCTCTATGTTGGCAGCCTGAGTGATTGTTCTAAATGTCACCATGTTACCATCAACCCTGAAGAAACAAACAGAAACAAAACATTTTCAATGGCTCCCCATTACCAGCAGTAGCCTGGACTGAGAAAATGTTCTTGCCTGGTCATTAGGAAGTCCCAACTCTGTCAGAGAAGGCAGGTATAAGTGGTGATTAGCACCCCACCCTCACACGTGGACCTGGACTTCAAGTCTTCCTGGGGTCACAGGAGCCAGCTGCCAGCTTTGGTTTAGAATCATCATCCCTCCCCATACTCTTCCCCCTTCTCAAATCTTAGAAGTCTTGAAAAAGAATATATGTGTGTGTATATATATATATATATATCAGAATCACTTTGCTGTATACTTGAAACTAACACAACATTGTAAATTAACTATAATTCAATTTTTTTAAATCTTAGAGGCCTGAGTCATATACCAAAACAATTTTTTCCCACATTCCATTGTGACCTGATCTACAATTTGTCTCTATGGCCCGAGGAACCACCCAGTAGACAGCCCCTCTGGTTGTCTGACTTCTCCCTCAGCCTCATCCTTGAACTGTTCTGAGCTTCTCCACCCACTCCCTTTCACTCACCTCCCCACTGTCCTCATCCTGGCAGCCCTTCCACTGTGCCCTCTAGAATCCTGTTCTTTTGTCAACAAACTCTCCTACACCCTCTGCTTCTTCAGAGAGTACTCAGGTTACTTCTTTACCTTTGTTAAAGCTTGACCCTCCTCCAGGACTCCTCCTGTAACCCTCTGCAGGAAGGCTTCTCACTCCCCATACACCACAGGACCAGGAGGTGGGGTCGGCATTGCCACTTCCACACTTGTACAAAAATTCCTTCTCCTTTGGTCTCCAGCCATACCACCTTCCACCCTTCCTCATCAAGGACATGATTGACCTCCAAGTGCTCCTATGCATTGAAGATTTCAGCCCCTGGCTCATGGTCATTCTCATTAGCCCTGTCTTGCCATCCTCCTGGTGCCTTCGGTAGCCATGTGGTTTCCTGATCCCTCAGTCCTTGGTCTCCTCTTCACATTACCTCCCATGGTCATACCTTGAACTTCTTAATCACACAGAACTAGTGCCTCTGTGATCTTAAAATCAAATATCCTGCACTGCCTGCTCCCTCACTCCCTTTCTCCCATAAGGCCTTAGTTTCCTCATTTCAAAATGGGTGTCATGATCATGATTATTCATTCTTCACAAGAATAATGAGATAACACATAAAACCATCCTTTTAGAGTTGAGAGACAATATGAGAAAAGATGGTATTGTGTTTACATTGCCTCAGGTCTTCACATCACTTTCTCCTTCTTCCCTGGAAGGCCATGTATTAAAGTGAACAGAGCACAGACTTGGAGCCAGACAGATATGGTTTTCAATCCTTGTTCTACACACTTACTTGCTGTGTGATCTTATGTAAATTACCCCATTTTTCTGACACATGCACCTCATGCTCATTTGTAGAAAGAGCAATAATGTTGTGAAGATCAAATAAGAAAATGAGATATAGCTACCGGAAAGCACCTGACAGGCACATAGTAAGCCAGGCACATAGTAAGCCCTCAATAAGTAGGAAACACTGTGGTTATAACAGAACAAAAAATGCTATTTTCTTAACCACAACTGCCTTCCAAGAAAGGTAGACCCTAATGTTCAGAGGTCCTTTTGTCCTACTTAGGACCTTGAGGAGTGTGGATATGTAAGTGTGAGAGGAGAAGGGAGACACCAACTTGCTCTGTGCAAAAAAAGGAAAAGAATTTGGAATTCACTTAGCAATATGGGTGAGAGAGGTAATAAAGAGAGCTGGGGGGAGGAAAGGAAAAAGATGAGTAAGAAAATCATTGTAAGGGTAGGTGCTACATGGATAAAGGGTCAGAAGAAACCCTCCCATGGCAGGTGTACAAAGGGTGTTTAAACACTGGAATGCATTAAATGGGAGAAGCTGTTTGTTACACATATAATGTAACCAATTTCTGTGACTCTCAAGACTTCAGTAAAGGCCATTACACTCAGGAATGCTTTCTGAGAGAGGAGTTGTAAGGATGAGTGAGTGGGAAAATTGAGCAATGGGCTTTGTTTTTCTGAGTTGAAAAAGGAGAGTAGAGGCAGAGACAAGAGAGCACAAGCCCTCGCGGAATTTGCGGAAATCTCCAGGAGGTCTTCCAACTTACAAGGGTTATCAAATGTAAAAATCAATGTAAAAATCGAGGTTCAAGCTCACTGCTTTTAGATCTTAAAGGGGGAGGGAGGCCATATCTGACATTTGGGCTGTGTCATTTGTGCCTTCCTATTGACTAGCAGGTGACCACCAGAGAGAATACAAAACTAATCATACTACATTGGACTGTCTTCACTTCCAGATCCAAATGCCAAGTAAGAATAGGAAGAAAGACAAAACGCTACCTTTTGTCTTAGATCAGATTGACTAACAATTATAATCATTAAGACTTTAAAATATACTGGGCTCATTCACATCTTTTGTCTCATTTAGTCCTCAATACAATCATACAAGGTATGGATTGCCATCCCCTCTTTATAAATGAGCAAACAGAGGTCAGAAAGTTTAAGTGACTTTCCAAGGTCACACATCTGGTAAATGGCAGAACCAGATACCAGGTCTGTCTGATTCCAAGTCCAGGGCTCTTTCTATTAGACCCCAGAATCATGGTTGCTTGGTGAACACCATTTGTGGTTAAGAGTGCTACAAACAAAATTACCTTAAATCTTTTCTAGTTGCCAGAGCAATCAGCCTTCTCTAGCTCCTAGTTTTTATATGAAATATAAAAGTGATGCTTTTTAATGAATGAGAATCAGTCACTTAGAAAAGTAGTAGCCTCGTTGTAAATCAACTATACTTCAATATAAGAAAAGAAAGAAAGAAGAAAAAAAAAAGGTAGTAGCCTAAGTGTGGATTGTACTTGGAATGTTCAAATCTTTACAAGGTTCAGATCTACACTCCAGTGTGCATCCCTCATGGACAGCCTAGGAATGCAGATATGTTGGCAGGTCAAGCGTTTTTCTCTCACCCCTTCAGTGGGTTGCCTCACATAACAGGGAAGCTGGAGCAGGTGCCAGAAAGTCACCAGAACATGTAAAGCAGCTCTAGAAACATAGGGTTCATGGGAGGAGTGGTGGAAGACAGGGCTGGGAAGAAAGGCAGAGACTAGATGGCCTAAGGCCTTGTATATCATGTTAGAGGTTTGGGAAATTACCTTGCAAGCAAAAGGTTTGAAGCAATGGAGTAAACCTGGTTACATATGCATGTAAGAAGAATAGCTCTGACTGTGGTGGGTGTGATAGATGGGATGCAACGAGTAGGGAGCAGGGAGAAAGGAGATAGGGAACCATCAGAAATTGCTTTAAAAATCCAGGTGAGGGTCTTCCCTGGTGGCGCAGTGGTTGAGAGTCCGCCTGCCGATGCAGCAGACGTGGGTTCATGCCCCGGTCTGGGAAGATCCCACATGCCGCGGAGTGGCTGGGCCCGTGAGCCATGGCCGCTGAGCCTGCGCGTCCGGAGCCTGTGCTCCGCAACGGGAGAGGCCACAGCAGTGAGAGGCCCGCGTACCACAATAAATAAATAAATAAATAAATCCAGGTGAGAGATGAAGAGGACCAGAAATCATGTCATAGCAGTGGGGAAAGTGGAAAGTACCGGCATTTGATTTGTATTTAGGACCTGGCGGCAGATTAAATGTGAGATGTGTGGGAAAGGGAATTGGCATAAACAACCAGGTAGACAGTGAAGCCATTTACTGGTAACAGGAGCAGAGAAGTTGTTTTAGTTATCTATTGCTGCATAACAACCACCGCCAAAAATTCAGTGGCTTGAAACAGCAATAATTCATTATTTCTCACAGTTCTGTGGCTGGCTGAGTGGATTCATCTGATGATTTTACCTTGAATCACTCGTGAGCAGCATTCAGCTGGAAGGTCACTCCGAGGCCTGGCAGTTAGTACTGGCTGAGGGCTAAGTGCCATGGTTCTTCCCCACGCAGCTTTTAATCCACTGGTAGGCCAGACCAGTTTACATGGTGGTCTGGCAGCAGTGTTCCAAGAGAGCCAAGGCAGAAGATACAATCTCTTGAGGCCTAGCCTCAGAAACTGCAAAGCACCCCATATACTGCATTCTATTGGCCAAATCGAGTCACAAGCCCAGCCCAGATTCAAAGAGCTCTGAGTAAGAAGAGCAAAGTCGCATCACAAAGGGGTATGAATAGAGAAGGGAGGAATCGATGGCCTTTAACCAATCTACCACAGGAATGGGAACAGATTTGGATAAGGAGAAAAAATAAGTATCTCAAACACCACTTCATACACTAATCATTCCTTCTT